AAGAGCTGAATGGCCAATAGCTAGACAGGAGAAAGGATGGGCAGGGCTGGCAGGAGAGAGAATAAACAGGAGGAGAAATCTAGGCTAGGAAGGAGAAGGGGAAGAAGAGGGAAGAAGGAGGAGAGAATGAGGGACATGCCTGGGGCAAGAAGCCAGACAGATGCCAGCCAGCGAAGCTGTGCAAGTGAGATGTACAGAAGGAAGAGAGGATAAAAAGCCCCAAGGCCAAAGGTAGATAAAGAGAAACAGGTTAAGTTAAAAGTGCTAGCCAGAAACGAGCCTAAGCTAGTCCAAGCATTCAAAACTAATAATGAGTCTCTGTGTCATGATTTGGGAGATGGTTGGTGGCCCAAAAGTAAGTGCCACCATACCTGGCTCAACCTAAATATAATTTAAAACAATAAAAAAACAAAGCTTAAAATAATAATAAAAAATAGGGTTGTGAGGCTACATCCCAGGCCACACCAGCCCATTTCTACTTCATCATTCTGTGTTTTTAAGTATTGTAGGTTTCCTTATAATGTGTTCCTTTCTTTCTCTTCTTCTCCTTCCATCCTCTTCCTCTTCCTCTCCTTTCTGCGTATGTAATGTAGTGCATGTGTGTGCAGATACATCTGTATATGTGTGGGCACACATGTGGAAGCCAGAGGTTGAGGTCAGGTGTACTCTGCTATCTCTCTCCATCACATTTGAGATGTGAGATACGGCCTCTCACTTGGAGTTCACCAATGGCTAGACTGACTGGCCAACAAGGGCCTAGGGTTGGCCCCCAACCCTGACTCTAGTGGTAGGCTTACAGAACTGTGAAGTCACATCTGGCTCTTACACTGGCAGTGGGGTCCTAAACTCAGGTTCTTGTCCATCAAACTATCTACTTACTGAGCCCATCTCTCTACCCAGCTCTCTTTACTTTCTCTCTTCTTCCCTTTTTCCCCTCTCTCTTTCTCTCCTTTCTATTTCTTTTTTAAAATTCTGTGATAACATGGTATATGCACAGCTAACAAAAGATGTTTTCAATTTTATTTTTATGTGAGTCTCTGGCCTGTATGTTCATCTCGGCACCACGTACATGCCTAGTGCCTGTGGAGGCCAGAGAGGCTGTTTAGTCCCATGGATCTGAAGTTACAGGCCACTGTGAGTTGCCGTGGGGGTGCTAAGACCCAGTCCTGGGTCCTCTGGAAAAGAACTACATGATTCTAACCCCAAGTCATTTCCTCAGCTCATTTTGTTTTTCCTTCTGTTTTGGTTTTCTTTTAGTTTATCGTAAATTTAGCAGACAAAATTTACGATGACTTCTATCAAGATATGAAAGGACGTGTGAAATTTACAAGTAATGATACCAGGTCTGGTGATGCGTCTATAAATATAAGCAATGTTCAGCTCTCTGATGCTGGCACCTATCAGTGTGGAGTGTTCTATGGCCATGGTGCTGTCAAAAGGACCATTCAGCTGATAGTTGTTGGTAAGTTACTGTTGTTGGTAGAAAGCGATGGCTTACTAACCAGGTGAGAAGTCACAGTACTAAAATCAAGCATTTATGTAAAACACACTTACCTTTTACAGTAATAATTGCATTTATTCATTTTTTATATTCGAGAAGTGAAACCTGGACCTTGCTTGCTAGGAAATAGCTCTACTACTGAACCATAGCCCAAGCTCTAGAATTATAAGTAAACTTTTGAAGTAATTCTATTGTTCTCTCATAGCTTGAAACATAAAGCTTGTGTGGTTTTAGATAAGAAAAATAAGAACAACTAGCTTCTTTGTAAAATTCTTTGTGATTTTCAAAATAAACGAAGTTTAGTTGTGTGAGGAAGAACCCCGAGCCTGGACTCAGGAGACTGCACTGTTGTCACTGGGGCTGTTGTTACGGACCTAGGCTTCTGCGTTTGCCCTGAGGATTCAGTAAGTTTCTGCGTTTCCTCGGGCCTCAGTCTACTCTATGTGCATTGAAACATGGAGTACAAAAGCTTTACTCGTCACTGCACCTGTCAGAGTCACCCCCCAGAGCTGCGTGTGAGCGCTCTGAGCTTCGCTTTCACGGCACAAAGACAAGTGAGGTTTCTATGGTGCAGAGCTGTGTGTTTAGGGTGCTGGAGATAGAGCAGAGGAGAAAAACTGATGGACTGGAGAAGCCAGTCCACAACAGGCAGTGATGTCACATCCCTAGTCTCACTGTTTTCACCCTTAAAATGAGACAGGCTGGGACATGGTGAAGTTCTCTCACTGATGGTCACGAGGACAAGTGGGAACTCCTTATGGTTTCCGGGCTGCCAAGTTTCCTTTCTGTGGATCCTGTGGTAATGTGCCCAATATGAATCCCCTCGAGTTCAGACATCGGAAAGGTGATAGTTCACAGTACATTTGAGTGCCTTGTTGTAGCAGGCCTTACACAGGTTGATGGTGTCTAGTGCTCTGTGATGGCAGCTCCCTGTCCTGCACCCTAAGGTCTCATGGTTTAGAAGATTCCTGGGGACATGTTTTGTAGGAATTTCTGGTTGTCTGGTACAACCTTAGAAGTGAACAGCCTACATACATGCCGACTGTTCCTTGATCCTTCAGTTTTATAGGCTCATCAAGGGGAGCGGTGAAGAAGGGTCACACGTGGGAGTCAGTCTTCTGAACACTGCTGTCTTTCAGAGCAGGAATATCAGCACAGAGACCAGGAAAGAGAGGGCACACTGAGCACATCCATGGGCAGCGTCAGGGCTTGTCTCCTATTGGCAGCAGCATTGAGTGCACACCCTGGTCAAAGGCACTCTGGCCCAAGTGCTGCCATTATAAATGAGCCCAACAGTGTGAAATAAGTGACCTAGCCTGAGTGGCTGTAGTTCTTTGTCATGATCTCACTGCTCCAAACACTTCTTGGCATTCTTTGGTATACTTAATTGAATTTCTCTATCGGTTACTATTTCATGTATATATTTTTATCACATTTGTGTGTGTGTGTGTGTGTGTGTGTGTGTGTGTGTGTGTGTGTATGTTCATGTACCATGACACATGCTGGAGGTCATAAGGTAACTTATAGGAATTGGTTTCTCTTTCCACCATGTGTGTCCTAGGGATCAAACTCAGGGTGCCCTGCTTATCAACAAGTGTTTTATCCACTGGGCCAGTCCTGTTCCTGTGTTCTAACAAGGACAGCCTATATTCTTTATAGTATGGCAAGATTTACGTGTTTTGTGTGTTTTCCCTGCATGTATGTGTGTATGTCCGCACCACAGACATGACTAGTGCCCTCAGAGGTCAGAAGAGGGTGTCAGATCCTCACAACTGGAGTTATGGTTATAAGCCACCATATGGGTCCTACGACTCAAACAGGGGTCATCTCTGGGATAACAAAAGCTCTTGAGCATCTCTAAAGTTCCAAGGATAGCATATAATTTTAACTGTACTATTGATTTTTTTAAGGGTCCCCTGGCTGACCTTGAACTTGGGTTCCTTCTGTGTCACCTCTCAAGTATTGAGACTACATATTTGTATCTGTGAATGGTTTGCGTTGCTGAGGTTTTAAAAGTATTTCTAATTTTTTTTAGCATGTATAAATTATACCTATTGTGCTCAGTTGCTTTTCCTAAGCAAATGCCTTTCTTTTCAGGCTAATCATCGGCCCCAGAGATCACATCACCTGAACTTTTAATTAAGTTTTGCCAATTATTTGGTCCTGTGACTCTTCCATAAAATGTGCCTTGTGCTCCTGTTCTCTTTCACCCTCAGAAGAATTCTTCGTGAGAATAAACTAGTGTCTCATCATTTTGTTGGATTTCTCTTTCTTCCGTTTGCTCCTGTATTTTAGGGTTAAAGAACTTAGGACAATTATCTTGGTGGTAGAGATGTAAGTTTTATGGAAATCAGTTGATAAAAACAAACATGATCAGATTTCTGAGTTTTGGAACTAGAATCTAAGTCTTTCAAATAGTATTACATTAACTTCATTTCCATGCTGTCTGGAGGGGAGGGGTACTGCAGAGCCAAAGCAAACTCCGACATTGCTCACTGTCTTCTTCTGTACTTTATTAGGACAGTGGCTCTCCATTGTTGGGCTCCTGTAATTCAGCATCAGAAACACCTTCCCCAGGGTGCTGAAAGTTTCACGTTGATGTGTATATTTTGCTTTATTGGAGAATGTATGTGTGTAGCATGTGGTGCATATATGCATGCCCAAAGTTGAGGTTGGTTGCCTTCAATCACTCTCCACCTTATCTTATCAGGGGTCTCTCAACTGAACCTGGAGTTAAGATTGGCTGGTCTTTCAAAAGGCTTGGGTTCAGTGCATAGACTCAGGTGCCTGGAGAGCTACCTCCAGGGTATTCAGTACTGGTTTCTGGACTCCAAGGGGACCTGTCAACATGTGCAGATGCATGTGCACACATATGCTTTGTCATTTGCATAATTCTAAAGTCCTTAGAGTACTTTGAGAAATAAATAGGAAAAGGAACAGAGCCAGCAAGAGGAGAGGGTTGTGGGGCATGAATGAAATCAAGGTCTATTTTACACATGTATGAGAATGTCCTAAGAAAACCCAGTATTTTGTATAGTTGGCAAGAGGAGGAAGAGAGAAACATACAGAGGGAAGACTTTTAGGAGAACTTTTCCAAGAAGATCACTCAGCAGGGCAGACAGAATCATCACATGACTATCTTCCTCTCATTGAACAGAGTTTTCCAATGGATATCCATAGTGCCAAGCAGTAGATTCATTGATATACTATTTAAAAGGTAAGAAACATTCAATGGCTGGGCAGTGGTGGTGCATTTCTTTAATGTCAGCACTTGGGAGGCAGAGTCAGAGTGATCTCTGGGAGTTCCAAGCCATCCTGGTTTACAGAGCAAGATCCAGGGGAGGCACCAAGCTACACAAGAGAAACTCTGTCTCGAAAAACCAAAAAAAAAAAAATGAAAAATAAAAAATTAAAAAGAACGAAAGAAAGAAAAGAAAAAAGAAAAAGAAACATTCAATAAATATGCAAATGAAAAAGCATGGTAAGCTCACCCATCAGGATCTTAGGCCTACATCTTGAGTTGGCCATATGGACTACTAGAACCCTGTTAGATATGAACAAAGAAATAAGTAGATAAGTAAGTAAATAAGTAAATAATCAAACCAACAGGACCAATAAGGGACTGGCCTTGGCGCTTAGCTCTGGAGTTTGTCTGGCATGTGTGAGGATGAGCTCCTCCAATAGGGGACAGTAGAGACAGAGGAGGAGGGAAGACAGAGAGACAGCCATAAAGAGTAAAACTGGTTTCAGGTGTCAAACACAGAGCATAACAAAATAATAGAACGAGAAGGAAAAATATCCAAGATGCCACTTACAAATTAAGCAGGACTATGCTTAATTTCCATTTTTAACACAAACAAAGGTTTTAATTTTGAAAGATTTCTTTTCCACCCCTAATGACCTTTGAGGATAAACTAATCATGTCTTAGAGACATGGTTTCATGGGTCCGGACTAGCCTGGAATTCCCCTTTTCCACAGACTGGCCTAGTACTCCCCAGGCAGCAGGCTGACCTTGAACTCCTGATCTCCCTGTCCTTGTCTCCCAACTTCTGGGGTTAGGGATGTTCTAAAGTACTCACTCTAATACTTTTTTAAATTTCTTTCTGGGGATGGAAGCCATTGGCCTCCAGCAAGTGAGACAAACACTCTATCCTTGGGGTGTTTCCTTAGATCAATTCTTTGCACGTGATACCATATAAATCTAATATCGATTTTTGATTAAGTTAAAAACTAGCCGTATACAAAAATTGAGCCACTGGTTTTATTAGCAACCTTGACCTCCAACGAACAACTCAAGTTTCACTTTGTTAATTTCCATTTCCATTTTATTTTGGGAATGAAGAAAAGGTTTAGGACTTGGTATGTGGGGATGGAGCAAAGAATCCATGAGTATGTAGGAAGGGGTTGGGAAAACGGTTTTCCTGTTTCTATCTTTGGACAAAAATCAGGCTATCCAAACAATAAAGACATGCCAAGGTCGATTTCTCCTCTCGACCACCACCACCCAATAACACCTGTGTGCATACACACGCACATGCACACTGGCACACAGGTGGGTTCTTGAAGGTTGAGGGTCACACCTTGCCTGGGCCCCGCCATGCCTGGGTGGGGCTTTCTTGGAAGGCAGGCTTAAATAGGGAACTGTGGTCCTCTCCAAACACTCTTGATCAGTCAGTCATCCTGACCACGTCTCTCTTCTAGAGGGTCCACAGAGTCTCTTGCAGAAGAAGCCAGACGACAGCTGTCCCTGAAGGAAGACCTCCAGCACTCAGAAGAAGCCAGACCACAGCTGTCCCTGAAGGAAGACCTCCAGCAAAGTCCATCAGCTGCAGCGGACCTTGTCTTGCACCTCTCCTCAAGTGCCAAGGCCGCATTGCCACCATGATGCCAGGAATGTGGCCCCGCAGCCCAACCGACAACCCGCTGCCCTGCTGGGCACCGCAGCCAGAAGGACCCAAGCCTGCCAAGCGCCGACGCCTCCACGAGTGCACCTGCCCGGGGTCGCAGGCACAGCCAGACCTGGAAGCGCCCACCAGGCCGGCCAGCGAGCAGCTCACCACCACCTTGTTCCTGCCTGCTGGCCTTGCCCTGAAACTCCATCTGGAAGGTGGAGACCCGCTGCTGGAGCCCGAGCCAGATTCCATCAGGAGAGTGACGCTCCCTGTTCACACCATCATCGTGGTGCCCGACTACGACCAGCCTGGACAGCCTGGCTTCTTGCCCTCCAGCCGGCAGGAGGCTGCTCTCCTGGAAATGCCCCAGCACCACCAGGTCAGGCCCCAGTGGGGATCCTCCAGCCCATCTGTGTCACATACCCAAGGCTGGGGAAATGCCTCTGACCCACAGAGAGACACTCAAGAAGGCTTAGGAGACTTCCTGAGGCCTATGCTATGGACGAATGCTCCTGCCGAGCCCGATTGGGACATGAGTGTGACGCTCCCTGGACACAACATCCTTGTGCCCGAGGATCTCCAGGACTCCACACAGACTGCACAGCCTGGCCTCTGGGCCGCCAGCCAGCTGGAGGCCGCTCTCTGGGAGTTGCCCCTGGACCACCAGGTCAGCCTCCAGCGGGGATCCTCCAGGAAAACGATATTAGACACCCAAGGCTGGGGAAACGTCTCTGACCCCCATGAAGACTCTTAAGGAGGCTTAGGAGATTTCCTGAGGCCTAGGCCATGGATGAATGATCCAGCCGGCATGGTCCCGGGAATGCCTCTCCCCTTCACTGGGGTGTCCAGCCCCTTGTTCCCGGGCTAAGTGTCACGTCCCTGGCGTCCATCAGCCCCTCCCGGTGCAGAGAGATATGCTCCCAGCTTCATCTGGAGCCTCAAAGGCAGCATGCTGTGGACTCTCCCCAGCTCACCACTGCAGCCTCTCCCTCCATCTCCCTCTCCTCCTCCAAGTCATCAGGCACAGGACCCTCAGAGTCATCAGAAGATCTGGTGCCCTTGCTGCAAGGCCCGGAGGCGCCTCTTCTAGGAAAGAGAGGACTGCTCCCGTGCCACTCGAGACACCAAATAACCCAACATTCAGCCTGGCTACACACAGGTGTTTTTGGCTGTGCACTATGGAGGAATGAAGACACTAGATCTCAGCCCTGAAGTCAAAATGCTGCCATCCAGAACCAATTCCAGTCTTCATCTCAAAACCTCCCACATCCCCCTCATTGACATCACCGAATCCCTGGACAGACACTCTCACGGTCCCCTATTTCAACAGAACCGAGAGCACTGGGCTTGCTATGCCGCCACTGTCCTTTCTGTGTTCCCCTGACTGGATGGAGACTTGGCCTTGCCTTCGGGTTCTTGGACAGTTCAAGCTGTTGCTCCTCCAGGAACCAACAAATACCCCAGTGGGAGATGGTGGGGGCTAACCCTGAGTGTATGATGCTTCTCTGCTAACAATATTTGTAATTCCAACTTCACTTATAAATTAATAAAATTTGTGGACCCCAGTATGTGAGGCTGTGTAAAGGAGTTTTTGAGAGAGAGCTGGAGAGAGAGAGAGAGAGAGAGAGAGGGAAAGAGAGTTTGTGTGTGTTTTTCTGTGTGTGTGTGTGTGTGTGTGTGTGTGTGTGTGTGTGTGTGTGTGTATTAGAGAAAGAGGACAATAAAACCCCAAGCAATCTCGGGGACTGTATGATCACACAAATTTTTTGAAAATCAGCCTGCTAGTGAAGTGGAGGGTCTCACCTTCCCTTACCCTGAGTATAAAGCAATATCGAATGTATGATCTTCAATAAGAAACATATTAAAATGTCAATTGCAGGAAATTCATTCTGTCTACCCATATCAAGAGAAACAGGTATCTTTAAAAATTGAAATAGAATTAGATCAAAGAAATGAACACACACACACACACACACACACACACACACACACACACACACACACACACACAGAGTTAATTATGAGTCAAATCTTGCTGTCATTCACCTAGGATAAACAACTGTTTTCCTTTAGCTGCCGTGACGAATTACTAACAGCTCGGTTGCTCAAGTTACTGGACTTTCTTCTCAGTTGTAGAGACATAACGTCTGAAATCAGGGACCACCAGGCTCCTGCTGCAGGCTCCAGGGGCAACTCTGTTTCTTAGTTCCTTTTGCTTTAGAACCATATTCCATCCCTTTGCCTAAGGTGATGGCAATGTGTGTTTCTTGGAGGCAGCAACATGATGATCTTGCTTCCTAATCCAATCTGCTAGTCTGCATCTCTTTATTGGGTAATTGAGATGGTAAATTGTTGTTCAAAGACATGTATTAATTCCTATCATCTTGTCACATTTTCTTAAATCTCTTTTGATTGTTCTTAAATTGTTTATATATTCCTGTGTTCTCTTGTTTTCATCCTTTTCTTTAGATCAAAGCATCCCAGTATCCTCTTCAGACATGGCTTAGTGGTCAAACCTTCCTTTAATCTGATTTTCTCACATTTTTCTTCCTCCTTATATTACAACTGATGGTTTTGCTGGGTCCAGTAGTCTGGGCTGGCATCTGTGGTCATTCAGAAATCTCAGATAGTAAGTCTAAGCCCTTCTGGCTTTTATCATCTTCACTGAAAAGTCAGTTGTTAATCTCATGGGCTTGCTTTTATAGGAAACTTGTTTCTTTCTTGAAGCTTTCAGTATTTGTTGTTTGTTCTGGGTATTCAGTATTTATTACATGGCCCTGTCTAACTGGTGGTGTGCACAGGCCTCTCGAACCCGATAGCCATTTCTCTTTCCTCATATTTGGGGGGTTTTCTTCTGATTTTGTTGAAAGTGTTTTTCTGCCATTGGGCTTCTTCTTCTCTATCTACGATTCCTAGGTTTTGCCATTTTACAGTGTCCCAGAGTGCCTGCATATCATGGGTTTGGTTTTATTTCTTTAGATTTAACATATTCTTTGGTTTGGTTATCCAATACCCCTACCTTGTCTTTAAGCCTTGATATTCTCTCTTCCACTTACGCCATTTGATTTACTAATTTTTTTTTTTCCGACAGGGTTTCTCTGTGTAGTTTTGGTGCCTGTCCTGGAACTCACTCTGTAGACCATGCTGGCCTTGAATTTACAGAGATCCACCTGGCCCTGCCTGTGCTGGGATTAAAGGCATGCGCCACCACCATCCAGCAATTTACTGAATTTTTAATTGAGTTTCATTTTGGCTTTTCTTCAGAAATTCTCTTTATTTACTTCAATATTCATATGTTGAATTGTCTCCTTTATTTCATTCAACTATTTTAGTATTCATTCATTGATATCCTTTTTTTTTTTTAGTTCCCTCAATGTATTTATAAAAGCTATTTAGAAATCATTTTTTTGTGTGTCATTAAGTTGCCTTTCTCAAGAAATCTAACTATGAGAATACGCATTTTTGGAGATGTCTTATCGGCTCACTCATGTTGTTTGCGTTTTGTGGTAGGACCTGTATCTGGAGTTTGGGTTTGGGGTTGTGTTTCTTGATATGGATATCTGTTCCACCTTGTTGAGTGGGCACATGTTGGTTTGCTCTTACCTAACTTGTCAGGTTACAGGCCAGCCGAATGGTGCTTGGAGTTCCGTCTTGGGGCCACTCAGTGTTTATGTCCAAATGGAGTGCAAGTGGAGTCCATCCTCTCCTGCTCCTAGGTTTCCAAATACCTGGTCTACCTCTCCAACTTCCCCGACTCCAACACCTTGGTTTGTAAGTAGACTCCTACACAGCTTTTCTGGTGCCTTCAAATGGTCACTATCACTGTTTGTGACTTTACTCATGCCCCACCAGTTCCTCACTCACTTTAGTATGGCGACATTTCATTGAGACTATTCTCATTCATTTCCTCACCATCATCCACCGGGTTGCCAGATCCACTGGTGCCTTGTGTTTTGTAAAATAAACATCTACACACCCACATAGGACGGAAGTCCAGACACCAGAGGAAGATTCTGTCAAGTCTAGCTTGGCAAACAACTGGGCTTCCTGTTTCTCACAGAAGCATGGGTGACTCCCAGGCAGCTGGACCACTGGCCAGCCCCGCCCAGTCTGTTTTTACCTCTCATATTGAAACAGAGGGAGTGCTGATTGCAATCTCCTGGGAGGGTTTTGTGACTCTTCCCCTCCCTCTGAGAGGAAGCAGCAAGGCCCACTGTATTACAACACACCTAGCTATCGGCTGTAGTTGGTTTTTTTGGCACCATGACTGCCAAGAATCAAGGTCCTTCATAAACAATCTGCTTCAAGGTGGTAATGATCACGTCAAACCTAAAAGAAAGCTAGAGCCGTGCACATCAGTTCTCGAACTTTCCATTGCTTGGCAGTGATATGAGACCATCAGCTTCCTGTTTTATACCTTCTTGCCTTGCCTCCTACATTTTAGGGTTTTTCTACTATCTCGGTCTTGGATATGTTTTACTTCCCCGCTCTGTAATCAATCCTGACACTATTGACAAAATGCCTGAGAGGAACAAGTTAAAAGGCAAACAAATTTGTTTTTGGTCACAATTTCAGTCCCAGATTGGCTAACTGTTACTGGGTTCATAGTGAGGTCTTAACCACCAAGCCATCACTCATGGTTTTATTCTTAAGTAACAGATTGCCAAGAGAGGAGAGAGTGAGGGTACTTTTTAAGAATGCATTGAGTATATATTAAAATCCTTTGTGTGTCTGTGCACACGGGGCCAGCGCTGGGATCAAACACAGCGCCTCCCTCACGCTAGGCAAGCACTCTACCACTAAGCTACATCCCTAAACCCAATCATAAAAGTATTATTTTCAGATTTGTGCAGAGCATATGTTACAGAAAAGAAAATGGCACATAGGTATATTAGTATTCATAGACTGTCTTTGTAACCAGCATTCAGGCGAAGCTAAGAAAATTACCATCAGCCTTGAGGTTCCTTTTTTGCCACTTCCGGTCATTAATTCCCTCCTAATTCAGGCATTATGTAGACTTCTAAGGCTACACATATGTCAGGGGTATTTTTTTCTTGCCTCTGAATCTTATAGAACTCTTCAAACTTGTCTCAAACCAGGTGGAAGGTGAGGGCCACACTTGAGGCTGTCTTCTGACCTCCATATGTGGGAAGTAGGTGCCTGCCATGGAAGACTTTATAGAAGAGCAGGAAGGCAAACCACGGAAGAGCAGGACTGAGCAAGTCCACAGAGAGGTGCCTTTGTGCACAGGAGCAGTGCTCTCCTCTGAGGGACACAGTCCACGTAAATGAGATCTTCTCTTTCTCTCTTTATTTCCCACACACGAATGGAAATAAAACCATCTCTACACAAACCCACATTTTAAATTAAATTTTTTTTTAATTATTTTGTATATGTAGATTTGGGTGCACATGCCACAGAGCACACACCCGAGGACCATTTCAGGATTCAGTTTTCCCTTCTTGGGGAGTGAACTCAGGTTTGCCTGCCTCTGTCTCCCAAGTACTGGGATTAAAGACATAAACTGCCACACCCATATAAATGGAAATCTTTTCATTTTTAAGTGATTTATTTTTATTTTATGTGTATAAGTGTTTTGTCTGAATGTATATATGTACACCAGATGCATGACTGATATCCATGGAGGCCAAAGCAGAGTGTTAGATCACTGGGGACTAGAATTACAGACAGTAGTGAGCAGTCATGTGGGTACTGGGAATTGAACCCAGGTCCTCTGGAAGAGCAGCAGCATGCATTCCTAACTGTTAAACCATCTCTCTAGCACCTAAATTAAGTTCTTATATGACATTATTGGCTTTTTTTCATGTTTTCGACAGAAAATGCTTCTTGTTTTCTCTGGTTACACAAACTGTATCATTATGAACCAATTGCTTCAAATATAGGCCAACCTACCTTTCATGTGAAAGACATGTGAAAGCAGACCCACGGTGGACACAGCCAGCAGCACCAGTTTATTTTACAGTGTTTACTATAGTCAAGGTTACTGTGGTGAGAGGTTAGTGGTTTTGGTCCATATTTTATTTTCCATTTGAATTAGAAACACATTAGTTAAAAAATAAATTTTTATGATTCCACATTTTCCTGACCATTGGAATATTACAGTTTCAAGTAACAAAAGATAAAAGTAAAAACATTGCAGACAATCTACCAGTATGTACAGAGTGAACACATTTAATTACCGCAGCCATTAGCAAGTCCTGATGTCTCCTCTTCAGCTCAGAACTCATTAACGAGCAGTCACTGAAGGCTCTCTGGGATCTCCCTATTATCCACAATGAGGGTGTGGATGATCCCTTCTCTCCTCTTCCCACTGCTGACGGCCTTTATGTAACAGTCATGGCTCCCAACACTGAAGTGTGTTTCAGTTCCATCATCTACAAACTCGCCCTAGGACAGCAAGGGAAGACGCATCAGTGTTCCAGAAATCTCTTTGCCGGGGCACTAACATCATTTAAAACGGACTGGTCTTAATGCCAAGCTCTTCAAATAAGAGCCCAATTATGTACACAGCCCTGTGATTTGCTGTAATTTCCAAAATCCTGAGTGATCTTAACTTTCAGAAGAAAGTTCTGTGTCCACAGTGTAGACAATGTTTACAAAACTAAAAACTTTGGTGAGCACATCAATAAACATTTCTCAGTTACTTATGCTATCCCAGCTTATGGGTATCATTTCACTGTCTTTATAATAGCTGCCAGAAGTATTGTTACTATTCTCATTTTATAGATACAGAAACTGAAGAGCAACATACTTAATAATTTGCTGAAGGCCTGTCCAGTAAGACGGAACGGTTCCCACCAGAAACCCAACTTCCTCCAGGTGTAAGATAACCAGGTAACCAACAGCACTGACCACTGAGTACCACAACCTTGACTAGTCTGAATGATATACAGGGTTTCAATGTTAACTATAGGAAGACCTAGCATGAAACAATGCAAAAAACTACTGCCTTTTTTTTTTGAGACAGGGTCTCTCTACATAGCCCTGGCTCTCTGAAACTCACTATGTATACCAGGCTGTCCCAGAACTCACAGAGAGTCACCTGTCTCTGCTGTCTCTTGAGTGATGGGATTAAAGGCGTGTGCCACCATGCACATCTTTATGACATTTCTGATATACTGATTTAAGTTAAACATTAAAGTTAACCCACCTTACATTTCCTTTTCATGTTGCTACTGGAAAAGGTGACGTTACCCACAAGTCTCACACTTACGGTTCATATGTATTTCTACTGCAAGATGTTACTCTAGAGTGGAAAGGCAGGAGTTCAGAGGACAGAAATGGAGTGTGCCAGAAGCTTTCACAAGCAGACTTAAATCCTGTCTGCATGGGCTGGAACTGAAATTCAGTGCTAGAGGCCCTGCTTAGCTACAGGTCCTTACAGCATAGCACATCTGAGCATCACAGAGGTCGAGAGTGAGTGAGCCTGGAGTTCACACTCTCTAAGCAACAGTAAGCACTGGAGCATCCGAGGGAGCGCTTTCTGAGCTCTGAGCAGCTCCAGCAGGTGGGCTTTAGAGGCTGTGTACCGTCAGCGAACCCAGGAATGCCCTGGGGCGCTTTGGAGCCTTGGAAGAAGCTTTGAGGGCCAGATAAAGGTTGCTACCACTATGTCTCTGAGTTGCTTCTTGGCAATTTCATGCACTGATGTGATGATCCTGGGGTGAAAATATGTGCTGCACAGGAGCAGGGCATCTGTGCATGTGCACAGACCAGGGCGGGCTGATAGGGAGGCCTCCTGGACGGCTCTGCTGCTGTAGCTACAAGCAGGCAATGGGGTTACAGAGGGTTGTCTTCACACTAGCTTCCTGCCAGTTACTAGGAACAAGCACATCATGGATGGACATTGATTTTAGCCTCTTTAAAGTCACATGCACTTATACTGAAAACCATTATTCTGAACAAATGACATACATTAATGATTTCTAGAAACCTACCTTATTGTCAGTTTTTGCAGTGCTGAAGACGGACTCTAAGGCCTCACACGGGCTAGCCACGTGAGTGACCTGCTACTGAGCTACAACCCTAGCCTTGATTTATTAAGATTCATTTTCATTAAAAAAATTTTTTTGAGAAGCAGGGTGTGGTGACACACCCCTTTGATTCCAACACTTGGAAGGCAGAGGCAGGCAGAATTCTGAGCTTGAGGCCAGTCTGGTCTATAAAGTGAGTTCCAGGATAGCCTGGGCAACACAGAGAAACCTTGTTTCAAAAAACCAAAACAAATTTTATTTGTATATGTTTTTAAATTTTATGTGTCTGCACATTTTACCTGCACGTATGTCTGTGCATCAGATGTGCCTGGTGCCAGTGGAGGTCAGAAGAGGACATTAGATCTCCTGAAACTGGAGTTATAGATGTTTGTAAGCAACCATATAAGTGCTGGGAATTGAACCCAGGTCCTCTGCAAGAGCAACAAGTGCTTTTAACCATTGAGTCATTTCTCCAGTTGTGTGTGCGAGTGTGTGCGAGTGTGTGTGTGTGTGTGTGTGTGTGTGTGTGTGTGTGTGTGTGTGTGATCATTCCTAACCTTTACACGGTACTGGGGATCCTAACTCAGGTCCCTTTGCATGCAGTTTAACTGACCAGAGCCATCTCCACAGCTCCCATCCTCCCCACACTCACACCCGGTAATAGAATGAGGAACTGTTACTCACACACACTAGGAATAAACAAATGGCAACTTACTGCTGTCTCCAGTTTTTGCCCATTGCACCACACATCCATAGTATCTTTTTCTGTAAGAGCAACAGACATTTCAAAAGTTATAATTCTATAGTTAAGGTTAACTTCTCTGTGAAAGTTGGAGACACTATATTTCTAAACTGTACTCAACATTCTAAAACTCAGTACTTTCAACATCTTTGAAACTCTCAAAATTTGAAGAAACTTTGTTCACAGCTGAAACTAGTTTTTTTTTTAAATCTTTTTTGTTTGTTTGTTTGTTTTTGTTTTTTTTGTTTTTTGTTTTTTTGAGAGAGAGAATGTTTCTCTGTGTAGCTCTGTCTGTCCTGAAACTTGCTTGAAAGACCAGGCTTGCCTCAAGCTCAGAGTGCTGGGGTTAAAGGTGTGTTCCACCATGCCTAGGTTTGAAATCTTTTAAGAGAAAGTCATGGTCCCATCAGAATGTGATAAAAATCTTGTTAAACAAAGCAAATGCTGAAGGACAATCTTGGTAAAGGAGGTTACACACGAATAAACGAAGGAACGAGGAGGACCTTGGTCATAGGAAACCAGCTTAATAAATTTAAAACAACATTGGAAATGTGATTTACATCAGGGACTAGGTGACTTCTGCCTCCTATGCTGGCAGAGCTAAGTAGATGATGACATAAAGACCACATGCCTTGGGGTTGGTAGAAAGCAGACAGCAGGAACTTAGTTTTTAGTTTCTTCCTGGACAGAACAATAATCTATGTTATAGTGGCTTTACTTTGGAAAAAACTACTAGATTATAAGGAAAAAGAGATCAAACATGTGGACTCTTCAGTATGGAGGACAGGGCACGCAATGCTGCTGCAGCAGCACATGGACTCTACAGTATGGAAGACAGGGCATGCAATTCTGCTCCAGCAGCATGTGGTCTCTACAGTATGGAGGACAGGGCATGCAATGCTGCTGCAGCAGCACGTGGACTCTACAGTATGGAGGACAGGGCACAATGCTGCTCTAGCAGCACGTGGTCTCTACAGTATGGAGGACAGGGCACACAATGCTGCTGCAGCAGCACATGGACTCTACAGTATGGAAGACAGGGCATGCAATTCTGCTCCAGCAGCATGTGGTCTCTACAGTATGGAGGACAGGGCACACAATGCTGCTCCAGCAGCACATGGACTCTACAGTATGGAGGACAGGGCACACAATGCTGCTCCAGCAGCACATGGACTCTACAGTATGGAGGACAGGGCACGCAATGCTGCTCCAGCAGCACATGGACTCTACAGTATGGAGGACAGGGCACGCAATGCTGCTCCAGCAGCACGTGGACTCTACAGTATGGAGGACAGGGCACACAATGCTGCTCCAGCAGCACATGGACTCTACAGTATGGAGGACAGGGCACGCAATGCTGCTGCAGCAGCACATGGACTCTACAGTATGGAAGACAGGGCACGCAATGCTGCTCCAGCAGCACGTGGACTCTACAGTATGGAGGACAGGGCATGCAATGCTGCTCCAGCAGCACGTGGACTCTACAGTATGGAGGACAGGGCACACAATGCTGCTCCAGCAGCACGTGGTCTCTACAGTATGAAGGACAGGGCATGCAATGCTGCTCCAGCAGCACATGGTCTCTACAGTATGAAGGACAGGGCATGCAATGCTGCTCCAGCAGCACATGGACTCTACAGTATGGAGGACAGGGCACGCAATGCTGCTCCAGTAGCACGTGGACTCTACAGTATGGAGGACAGGGCACAATGCTGCTCCAGCAGCACGTGGACTCTTCAGTATGGAGGACAGGGCATGCAATGCTGCTCCAGCAGCACATGTACTCTACAGTATGGAGGACAGGGCACACAATGCTGCTGCAGCAGCACGTGGACTCTACAGTATGAAGGACAGGGCACACAATGCTGCTCCAGCAGCACATGTACTCTACAGTATGGAGGACAGGGCACACAATGCTGCTGCAGCAGCACGTGGACTCTACAGTATGAAGGACAGGGCATGCAATGCTGCTGCAGCAGCACGTGGACTCTACAGTATGGAGGACAGGGCATGCAATGCTGCTCCAGCAGCACGTGGACTCTACAGTATGGAGGACAGGGCACAATGCTGCTGCAGCAGCACGTGGACTCTACAGTATGGAGGACAGGGCATGCAATGCTGCTCCAGCAGCACTTGGACTCTACAGTATGGAGGACAGGGCACACAATGCTGCTGCAGCAGCACGTGGACTCTACAGTATGGAGGACAGGGCATGCAATGCTGCTGCAGCAGCACGTGGACTCTACAGTATGGAGGACAGGGCATGCAATGCTGCTCCAGCAGCACGTGGACTCTACAGTATGGAGGACAGGGCACAATGCTGCTGCAGCAGCACGTGGACTCTACAGTATGGAGGACAGGGCATGCAATGCTGCTCCAGCAGCACTTGGACTCTACACTATGGAGGACAGGGCACACAATGCTGCTGCAGCAGCACGTGGACTCTACAGTATGGAGGACAGGGCACACAATGCTGCTGCAGCAGCACGTGGACTCTACAGTATGGAGGACAGGGCATGCAATGCTGCTGCAGCAGCACGTGGTCTCTACAGTATGGAGGACAGGGCACAATGCTGCTGCAGCAGCACGTGGACTCTACAGTATGGAGGACAGGGCACGCAATGCTGCTGCAGCAACCTCACATAGCAGTTTGCTACCATAATTCCCTGCCAGGTGGGAGTCCCCAATACTTCCTATCAACATTAGTGTCCTAAGAGTTGGCTAGAAGAAGACTATCATCACCAAAGAGTCAGATGAGCAAGCAGAGAGAACGCCTGTGTTTGTGACCTGCATGGGCACCAGGATCCAAGGACAAGTCTGCCCATGGGTCATGTCTCAGGGTCCAGACAAGGGTGTGACTCTGGCAGGCTAGCTGCTGTAAGGGCACAAGTCCACGAGGATTATCTTCTCTCCACTTCCTGAGCCAGGTGGGCACTTCATTTAAACTACAGGAAGCCTTTGAGGTAGGCTAAATATGGCAAGGGGAAGGCAGTGGTGGCCTCAGGATATGTGCAGGGCTCACCCCAAAGGCAGTCTGAATGTGATTCACACATGGTCAGAGGCAGGGAAACACAGCTGATCACAATATGTGGCTGAACACCCAGTGCTAAGATCTGTGACAGTTGTAGTGAGAACTGGCCATTAGCTTATTTACTGAACATGCATACATATTCAGATTATCTAAATTACATAGAAGGGTTTGCCACGAGGAACATAGCTAATCCAGAAATCATAAAAGGAAAATAGAAAAACATTTGAAAGACTATGGACATATATAAGCAAGGTCATACAACAATGAGCCAACACTGCATTTTGAGGCCATGTCAACAGTCAGAACAAAAACAAGGGCCCACATAGTCAAATGCTCTCTAACCCAGTAGTTCTCGACCTTCCTAATGCTCTGACCCTTTAGCATGGTTCCTCATGTTGTGCTGACCCCAACCATGAAATTATTTTGTTGCTAATTCATAACTAATTTTGCTAATGTTATGAAATGTAATGTAAATATCTGATATTCGACCTCCAAAGGAGGTACAACCCATAGGTTGAGAACCACCACTCTAACCCTTTCATAACTAAAATTTCCATTAATAAGTGATGGGTGCAGGGAGTCACGACATCCCTCATCACATCATGGTGATATTCAGAAAGATGGATGAAACAAATTATTAAAAGCTCCAGTAAGAAAAAATGAGAGTCACACAGACACAAAACTCATTTAAAGCAGTGAAGAATAGACTGTGGGAGTGAGACCTTCATAAATTCTGAGGGAAAATGATTTTGCTGTACTCAACAAAAATAACTCAGCTTAGATGCCAAGATATGTTTAACTCCTTGACCAGAGGAATAACCCCTTAAAGATGTCTTTCAAGTTGAAACTGGGAACGGCCGGTAGTAACTGGCTGACCTAGTATCTATGAAAGCAAAGCCCAGTGGCCACAATGGAGAAGGCTGGGAGCTCCTGCTTTCCACCAGAACAGAAACAGAACAAGAATGTCTTCTTCAAGAATGAAAGGGATGGGGGGTTTGGAAATATGGCTCAGAGTTAAGAGCACTGGCTGCTCTTCTAGAGGTCCTGAGTTCAATTCCTAGAAACCATATGGTGGCTCACAACCATCTATAATGAGATCTGGTGCCCTTTTCTGGCCTGCAGGGATGTGTGAAGGCAGAACACTGTATACATAATAAATAAATAAACCTTAAAAAGAAAAGGAAAGAATAAAAGGGAAGGGCTGGAGAGTTGGCTCAATGGTTCTGAGCACTGACCTGGGTTTCATTCCTGGCACCTATGTGGTAGCTCACAACTGTCTGTAACTCCAGTTCCAGGGGATCCATCGCCCTCTTCAGACCCCTGCAAGTACTGCAAGTATGTGGTCCACAGACTTACATAGAAGCCAAACACCACACACAAAAAATAAGAAAAATCTCAATTGTTTTTTCAAGACAGGGTTTCTCTGTGTAGTTCTGGCTGTCCTAGAACTCACTCTGTAGACCAGGCTGGCCTAGAATTCAGAGATCCACCTGCCTCTGCACCTCCACCCCCAGCTCAAGAATTTTCTGAAAAGAAACTCAAGCAAAACAGATGTGAGAAAAATGCTGACATGAGAAAATAAACAGCGCACGCGCACACACACACACACACACACACACACACACACACACACACACACACACAGACCTGGAGGTCGTACAGACAGGCAGTGATGAGGAAGTGAGGTGGCTAGGCTAAGAGCCAATGAGAAGGCAGAACAGCAAGGCAATAAAGGCGCAGGTTAGACAGGAGGAAGCTGGTTCTCTCGGGGGAGGCTATGGCGGCATGGTGAGTAAGGACAGCTGGTGGCTTTCACTATTTCTCTGACCGCTCTGGCTTTCACCCCTATATTTGGCTCTGTGTTTCTTATTTAATAAGACTGTCTAGAAATTCGTCTACAATTGGCGCCCACGTGGCAAGAATTCTTTAAAAAACTGTTGGTGGACATACAGGCCAGGGGTTACAGGCCCCGGCTTGGCTGGAGCTTACAGG